CTAGCCGAGTGGAACAAACGGTTCTCGGTCTTCAGCTAAAAACAAAAGAGAATCTGATGCAACTTCTTGTTTGTTTTCCTTTCATGAAGAACAGAGTTCATTTCAAAAGTTTGAAATAAAAAGAAAAATAACTGAATGTTTTTATATGATGTTAAATGTGTTCAGTTATGATCTGATTCAGCTTCAGTGTCTTGTTGCTTTCAGTCGTCGTCCGCTAACATTTAACTCTGGTTTACTGACAGTCGATTTGAATGATGGTGGATTTAACTGCTGACACATTAGTTAAATATCTCAGCATTAATGTCTGTTTGAATAATGCATGAAGCAGCTTAATAATGCATCTGCAGGGAGCAGTTATGCAGTAAATGTTCAGGCCACTATGAGCCTTCAAATGTGGTGTCAGTTGGTTTGATTTGAGCAAACTGGCCGTCAGACAAACAGAGGCAGCGGAAAATAATGATCTGAGGCCAATTTTAAACATTTCCGCAGAAGCAGACCATCCTCAAATCTGGTGGTGTCCAGCAGAGAGCAGATGATGAGGACCAAACACTGAAGTCTGATGGAACAAACTGATAATGATAGAGGAAGGATTTCTGTTGGCTTGAACCCAGATTCCTGATTGGAAGCAGGAACAAACTCCGTCCAGGTGAGAGTTAGGACTGTGCAGTTAATCAAATTTATCATTCAGTTTCAAGTTTGGCTCTAAATGATGAAGGTTTGGTCTTCAAAGTGATTGAACACCAATCAGTTATTGGTCTTGAACAGGCTGATGATGCTGGAAAACCTTCCAATGTGGCTGAACCAGAACCGATGGGGCCCAAACTCCAAAGGCCTCTTGTTAACGACCAGATCATCGCATATTAAACGGATCATTTTGATCATCTGTGAACTTCTTTTCACGTTAAACTTGTTTAATTGCTGCGTTTATCATTTGAATCAATTTTCCGCCAGATTGGATTCTGAACTGGATCCGGTGTGTTTTGACCTTTTACTCACTGCTGCCCCCTGGCGGTTCTTCTCACCATGTCAGCCAAATGCTGAACTCTCGGTGACCCTAAAAATGTTCCGGATCGTTCATTTATGGGGAAATTATTCTTAGGACCAAAACCTGCATAAAGAGGGTATTTGTGTTATTATTGTGATTTAGTTGCATTAATGGAGGACGGTGACAGGAAGTAGCTGCAACAAAATGAAACACGGCAGGAAAATAAATTTACTTTTTATTTCCTCTGGTAAAACGTCACAATTTTCATTGAAACAGAAAAATGTTAGTAAATTAAAGGTTATGAGGAATGAAAGCAGAGAAAAAAACTGAAAAACTTTTATTTTAGTTTATTTTGATCAAAGTTTAAAACGGTGAAACTCAGAGCTGAACTTGTTTAATAATCTGATCTGGTTTGATAATCTGATCTGGTTTGATAATCTGATCTGGTTTAATAATCTGATCTGGTTTAATATTCTGATCTGGTTTAATAATCTGATCTGGTTTAATATTCTGATCTGGTTTAATAATCTGATCTGGTTTAATAATCTGATCTGGTTTAATATTCTGATCTGGTTTAATAATCTGAACTGGTTTAATAATCTTATCTGGTTTGATAATCTGGACTGGTTTAATAATCTGATCTGATCCATTAATCTGGACTGGTCCAATAATCTGGTACCGTGAATATAATCTGCACATATTTGACATCATTAAACATTAACTCTTTATTGTCCGGATTTTGGCTCGGTTCGGTTCGGGCCGCAGCAGCAGAACCGTTGATAAATGAGGACACCATGCTGAGGTTCGGTTCGGTTGAATCGATCAGAACCGAGCCTGGTCTTACCCCAGCTGCTGGCGGTTCGGCCCAGGAACTCTCCGGTCCGCGGGTTGTAGATGAAATCCTTCCATGATTCTTTCTTCTCCTCCTTTTTATGCTCCTTCTTCTTCTTTTTCTTGTCCTTCTCCTCTTCCTCCTCTTTCTTCTTCTCCTCCGTTTTCTCCTCCTTCTCCTCCACCTTCACCTCCTCCTTCGCCGCATCCTTCTCCTCCCCCTGCGCCTCTTTCTCCTCCGGTTTCTGCTCCGCGTTCGTCTCTTTCTGCGGCTCCTGGTTCGGTTCTTGGTTCTGGGCTTCTGGGGCGGACGACATGCTGGTGCGGCGCCGGGCTGATCCGAACCGGGCTGATCCGAACCGGGCTAATTAATCTGCGCTTGCAGCGATCCGTTGGGTCTGTCAGCGATGCTCGCTCTGGAGCCCAGCACACACACACACACACACACACACACACACACACACACACACACACACTCGCGCGCGCGCACGTAGAAGAATGCGCGCTGACTCACCCACACACGGCAGCGCACGGACTGCTGCAGAACGCGGCGCATGCGCAGTACGGAGTCCTGAGTGTCTCCAGTGATGGAGTCAGAGAGAAGCTGAGAGGAGAACGTTCAGTTTGATTAATTAACTAAATTAATTACTTAGTTAATTCATTAATTAAACTCCAATAAAATCACGTGACCTTTTATGTGAGGAGGCGTTTTTACAGTCTGGTTCTCAGGATTATCACACTTCTCTTACTATAATATAATATGATATAATATAATGTAATGTAGTATAATTTAATATAATATAATATAATATGTTTGTCTCAAGTCAGAGTTAAAATGATGCAAAATCACATTAAACTGTATCTGAAGTTATATAATCACACCAGAGGTGACACTCACGTGACTACAGGAAGTCAAACTTATTGGGTCAAACCGCAGTGATGTCATTCTGACGTCACACTCACCGAAAGGTATGAAGTCACGTGACCAGCAGGGATAAATGGCAGCAGGGAAGCAGAAGGAGCAGATGTGAAGGAGTTCATCCTCAGCTGATTCATCACGGTACCAATAGAACCAACCCGACCAGAACCTCAGTTCACCTGCCCTTAATGAACCCGATCAGAACCATCTGACTGGTTCTGGGTTCAGGATCAACATTCTTCACACACAGAGGCTTTATTTATTTTCTTTTGCAACAAAAATCTGAGAGTTTGACTGAAACCCAAACGAGTCTAGTTAAAGTCCAGTTAAAGTCTAGTTAAAGTCCAGTTAAAGTCTAGTTAAAGTCCAGTTAACACCGAGCCGTGAATGAGAAACTCATGATCACATTAAACCCAAAGCAAATAAAACAATCAGTTATTATATAGATAAATCAACTCATCAGATTCAGGACAGTAAATGTTTGTTTTGGGCGACAGTGTGTAAACTATTGCTAATCTGCTAATGCGCTAACGGCAGAGCTAAGTTTTTGTTTAGCATTTTAGCTGTGAAAACGTTTAGCGCCTTTAGCTTAAATTTTCCAGGTAGATTTTAGTTCTAATTTGTCTGTTTTTAAAATTTCAGTTGAATAAAATTGGACATTCATGTTGATCGACTTGCAGTTTCATTTCCTCTCTTCATGTGTTCATTAATATTCATAATAGTTTCAAAAACCAGCTGAAGACACATTTGTTCGGTTTGGCTTTTAATCAGTTTGATCTTGTTTTTTGTCACATATTCTGTTTTATCTTCTGTGTTTTTATGTCTTATTTCTGGAAAACACTTTGCTGTTTCTGAACTGTGAAAGGCTCTACAAAAATAAAGTTACTTTTTAAATTAAGCTTATTGAACAAATGGCAAATAGGCAAACAAAACATGAGATTTACAGAAAAATACACTTACATAAACAAACAACCAGAGATGCTAATTAGACAAATATGGAAAAATTCATACCTATAAATTGTTGTGAGAACTTTAAATTGGTGTTCCTCATGCTCTCCACTGTGACGCAGTGCAGCACATTACATTTACTCTGTACCCAGAATGCATTGCACTTGAACAATATGCTGTTTAATATTTGCTGATGTCCTGAGTGCTTTCTGACCCTAAAGTCAGAATCAGTGACAGAGTTAGAAAAACTCAGACTGTAGAAGTTAAAACATAAAGTTAATAAAGATACAGGCTCATTATTACAACATTTTATTCATGTTTGTTTCGTGTTTATGATTCTCTTTCTGTCCAGATGGAACCAAATACTCTGGAATCATTTCAGGAACATGAATATGTTTGTTTTTGAGGTTTTTGAAGGTGAACTGGATCTGCACAAAAGTTACATTCATCAATAAAATATACTTTCTCAGCTACTGGTTCTGAATAAAAAAAACTCATGAAGATCTGCAGAAAAATTTCAGAAAATCAATCATTGAATGTGATTGGTCCAACTGGTCCAACTGGTCCAGCTGGTTCCCTCAGGAATCCAGACCGGAACCAGCAGACGAACCGGGATGTTTCTAAATGGTCTGATGCTGAATCTTTAAAGTTTCAGTTTCATTTATCACATCGTTTATCATTTATTCTGATAAATTTCTTGTGTTATGAGAGTTTCAGTAAATGTGAAAATTAAAAGCAGTGGTTATGTGCAGTTTAGTGGTTCTGGTTTTGGTTCTGTTGACTGGCGAAAAGTTTTATCACAAAATTTTACGGTACTTTTGTAAAAATGATGAAAGCGATGACAAGAGTTATTTATTGCTTCCTTTTAGGTAAGTACTGACAGAAACTGTATTTAATTATTTCAAATTAATTCTATATCAATGCATTTTTATTGAACAGTTTTAAAAAATAGTAAAATAATCTTGACAACAGACCATTTTATTTGGAATTTATCATATGAAAAATAAATCAAAATCTTATGGTAAGGAATTTATTACTATTAATAATAAATGATATGATAAATGTTCACTTCTACTTCACTCATCGATCCAACAGGAACCGAACCGAGTCCAGTTCCTGAATCACTGGTCAGAAAATCAGAGAGCTGTGACATCACACGGTAGTGGAGAAACACCATGTGACCTCATCACACACACACACACACACACACACACACACACACACACACACACACACACACACACACACACACACACACACACACACCGAGCCGCCGTCAGCAGGAGGAGGAGCCAGCAGGCTGAGGATGCTGTCAGGTTGCCGTGGTTTCAGCCTCCTGCTTCTTGAGCCGACCGTTGCGCGCGCGGCCAACGGCTGAGAGCCGTGAGGATTTATGACAGGACGGAGGGAAGGAGGAGAGAAGGAAAGGAGGGGAGGAGGAGGCTGTGACAGCAGGAGGTGTTGAAGGGTGGATTATCGCTGCCGCAGAAAAACATCAGAGTCATCGTTTCCTCTGAGTTCCGGCCATCAGGAAGCTCCATCACTCCATCTGAGCAGAGGGAGGACTGAAGCAGGGATGGAGGGACTGTGAGTCCTCGCTGGTCCTCAGGTAAGCCTTCACGTCTTCAACATGTCTGCCTGCTCCACTCATTTACTTCACCTTGATGTGAATAGAATCAGGTGTCAATAAAGTCTGCTCAAAACACATCCGGCTCCTTCCCACCCAGAACCATTTCCCTCCAACATGGCCGCCATCTTTCAGCAGAAAGCAGAACAAAATTAAAAATATAGAAATATAAAAAAGGTTATTATTTTGGAATGAACATGAAGAATAAATTCGGTAAATAAAAACAAACACGAAATGTCGCAGACAGGAAATGACCCAGGCATGATCCAACATGGCCGCCTGATTAGATATGATCCAATATGGCTGCCTGATCAGATGTGATGTCATATGGCTTCCTGGTCAACATTTTTAAAGCAAACCAAAAGCAGAAAGTGAAAAAACGGAAACCAGAAGATCACAGGACTGACAGCAGAACCCGTTGGGCCTGAAACCAATGGACCACCAAACCAAAACCAGAGATCAGCAGGACTAAAACCAGAGGCTTATGGGACTGAAACCTGGAAACAACAGCACAGAAACCATGGTACTACTGAACTAAAGCCAGAAATAAAACCAATGGACCACCAAACCAAAACCAGAGTCAAAAAGACTGAAACCAGAAGACCATAGAAGTGAAAATAGAGCACCAAAGAACCATTGGACTAAAACCAGAGAACAACAGGACTGAAACTAGAGGCTCATGGGAAACAACTGGTAGAAAACCAATAGACCAACAAACCAAAACCAGAGAACTAAAGGATTAAAACTCAAAGAGCAAAGAACTGAAAATAGAGAAGAACCAGGCAGAAATATGACAACTTGACCAACAGGCTGAAACCAGAGCACCTTGAGACACAAACTGGTTTAGTACCAGAATGAAACCAGAGAACCACTGGACTAAAACAAGATTTCATTGAGTGATGATTCATCCATCCAATCCAAAACAGTCTGTCCTTTCAACATAAAAACAGGTTCAGTTCATTTCCACAATGAAATCACAGCAACTCAAATTCACACCAGAACAACCCAGTTATGTAGACAGACTGTCCAATTTGACCCTGATGGACAACAAGGCGGATCGAATCAGGAAACTCCCAAAGGACGAGTCGTTCACCTGAAACCAAGCATGTCGGACGGAACGACTTCCTTTTCACAGGATGAAACCGACAACAGAACCAGAACAAGAATCATGGTGAGCAGCTGGTCATCTGAAGTGACCGACTGGGATCTGATGAGACATCCATCCGTCCATCCGTCCATCCATCCATCCGTCCATCCATCCGTCCATCCGTCCGTCCGTCCATCCGTCCATCCATCCGTCCGTCCGTCCGTCCGTCCGTCCGTCCGTCCGTCCATCCATCCATCCATCCATCCATCCATCCATCATCCATCCATCCATCCATCCATCCATCCATCCATCCATCCATCCATCCATCCATCCATCCATCCATCCATCCATCCATCCATTTGTCCGTCAGCCTGGTTTCTCTTGCTCTTGTTTTCTATTCTTGGTTTTTGTTCTAAGCTCTTTGGTTTTTGTTTTTGGGTTCGGTTCTGTTTAGGGTTCTGTTTGTCCAGACAGGAACTCGGTTTCTGAGGCTCTTTGAAGGAGTTACAGTCATTTAGAAAATTAAAACTGACATCAGTAAACCAGATCCAAACGCTATGAAACGTGATCTGGACCTATTAGCTGCTGGTTTCTTTGTTCATTTGAGTTCTTGATAACTTTCTCCAGAACCAGACAGATTCGGGTCGCAGGTGGAATCTATGCAGGACCTTTAGAAACTGACATTTAGCAGATATTTCTGCAGTTTTGCTTGCTTGTGTTTCCTGCAGCAGTTCATCTCAGGATCCTCTGCTTTGAATTTCAGATTCAGCAGATTATGTGCCTCTCAGCTCCTTAAAGCATTAGCACAGAGCCGGAAACGGCGGCAGAACCGTCGGGAAGCAGAACCCAGAGCAGAGTCGAGTTCAGGTCTCCGGGCTGCAGAAGGTGGTTGATGGAGAGACGTTACGTAAATGAATCGACTTCATGTCTGAACGTTATTGAATCAGCCGCAGACGAGGCGTCGGGCTGGAGATGCTCCGTCTCCCAAACATCGACCCGCCGCTGGGTTAGGAGGAACATCTGTCCCTCTCCTCCTCCTCCTCCTTCCATCAGCTCCCCTTCATCAGTCGCGCACAAGGAGGCATTACATCACGCTCCTCTGAGAGATGCTGCTGTTGCTAGGTTACCGCTGGCTGACTCTTCCATTTTTAGAAGGATGCTGAGAGAAGAGGGTGGGGGAGGGGAATCAGAAAGACACCAAACAGCCTGAACTGAAGGCCCTTCAGATGGTTTCATTGATCTGCACGTGTAACAGTGCATCAGTCAGTTATTTATATAACGTTAAATATCAGAGAATCAAACATTCGGAGGAATTTGGGGCATCAGAAACCAGCTTACAGTCCGACTCTGGTTCTGGCAGGAACGGGTCTGAATCAGAATCAAGCTAAAGAAGCAGGAAGTGAAGCTGTTTTCTAGGAACAAACTCTTTCTCCTGTTTTTCTGCTGCAGTTTTTATGTTTTTGGTGCTCATCTTTCCCCATGTTGGTTCTTTTATTATTTACTTTACAAACTAACCCTAAAACATAAACTTTGTGTAAACTTTTTGCATCAACTCTCTGGGAACAGGAGGATCAACAACTTTTTAAAATAATCTCTGATTTCTCTCCATAGAAAAATGGACTTGAGTTATTTGGTTTCAGAGCGACTGGCAGCTCCACTGAGTATGTAGCTCGTCTATGTTTTGCTGTTTACTCTTCTCTAAATTTAATGTTACCTTAATGGGAACAAACAGTTGAAGCTCATTTTCACACAAAACGAAAGCTTTCATAATCACCAAACTGAGAGTTAAAGAATCTAAACTTGTGATATTTGAGCTGGTTGTGGTCAAATCGACACAGCGGCCTAAAAACCACTGATGCACCAAACCACAGGCTGCGGTCTGACAGTGAATCTAATTCCAGTTGCCTCTGAAGTCAGAGCTGGACGTGACATCACAGCCGAGTTAGCAATATCCCAGTTAGCATAGCCAGAGAAGTTGGGATTCCAACATGGCGGCGCCCAGGAGCCACTGAGCTTTACTTTCCACACACAAACACAACTTGTAATTTTCTCAACTTGAAGTTACATTCACTTCATTTTGCACCAATTTTAGATGCACTGTTACAAGATAAACATGTTTTCACCACAGATTACTAACATGGATGTGAGGAGCGGCCATATTGGATCTCAAAGTCTGTGTTTCAGAAATGCTCAGACTTTCTAGCATTCTACTTGAGTTTTCCGGGTTTAGTTGAACGTCACTGGTCAGAACCAGCCACAGAACCAGACGGAGCTAAACGTCCGACCCGTCGTTGACCTTCTGTCCTCGTCCTCAGATCCGTGGGGAGTCATGACCTCTCAGGAAGAGGCGTCTTCCTTCAGGAGGTTCTTTCAGTACGTGGAGGACAGCGCCCTCCGAACATACGACGGTCTGGTGATCCAAAACGCTTCCGACATCGCCAGAGAGAGCGACCGCGTTCGGAACCAGACCAACTGGACCTACCTACAGGAGAAACACCAGAAGAAGAGACGGCAAGAAGAGACCATCAAGAGGTAAACAGGCAGTTCTGTAACTCAGACGTTTAATGTTTAAAGGTATCACTTCATCAGACTTTATTTTGAAATGCCAGGATTTTGACCATCAAGAAGAGGCAGGTTCTCTTAGCGAGTCTTAAACTGAACATCTTGATTCTCCTTAAATCTCCAGATTTTTTGATTATGACACTTAAATGATTTGACTGGCTGACTCAGGATGAAACCATGTCAGACTACAAACGATGTTGGAATCATGAAGAGGTGAAAGTTTAGCTCTGATGAATAACATGATGGCGAAGAGTTTATCTTACTAGTTTAGTGATCAATCTCAATCAACTACAGAACCTGAGCAAACTTGACGATGGTTCGACTGGAGGCCAAAATGAAAACATTTGTTTTCAGCTGCTGTGATTCTTTCTTTCTGCTCTGCGTCAGCAACAGGTTGCTCAACCCTTTGACCAACAGGTTGCTCAACCCTTTGACCAACAGGTTGCTCAACCCTTTGACCAACCTGTTCCCCTCCTCGCCTGTGGGGGCGCTGCACCAATAACCACTGAACGAAACAGCATGAAAACCTTCTCTGAAGACACTGAGCACAACTTCCTTCTTCAAGAAATGCAAACAACAACAGAGAGGCATCAGATTTTAGCGGTTGGAGGATTTCTCTTTTGTCTTCATCAAAAGACCAGCAGCCATTTCTCCCACTGGTGCTCGGCTAGCATGTTTGTTTTGATTGCATTTACCCAGGATGCCCTGCGCTGGAATCAGATTTCTGCTTTTGGAGCGGTCTCCAGTCCGCTTGGCGTTCACATATGTATTCAAACCGAACGAGAGTTCACTTCAACTCAACCCAGACCGAGGTTTGTAGGCAGACCAGAGTTAGCTTTTTTGATCAAAGTTTGATTACATATTCATTCCAAATGAACTTTCTAGACAAATTCAGAAGTTTGATTAAAGCGGTCCTAACAGGCTTGGTGTGAATGAACCCTAGGTTTATGGCTATAGTCTCCAACGCCAGCGCTAGTGGACCTGGGATCCTACAGCTTTTACACGTGTCTCTGCTTTAACACACCTTAATCAAATAAATAAGTCATAGTTTTTAGGTGCTAGTGTCCTGCACCTAAAAGCTGCAGGACACTAGCGATCAAAGACCCTTACTTTACAGGCCATTTTAATCCTCATCTCCCACCACGTTGAGACATGGATCCCTGACCTCTTGAATCAAACAAATCTCCTCGTATCTTTTCTCCTGATGCTTGACTGAATCTTTTCAGGTGATCGCACGAATCAAACATTCTCCTGGTCTTTTCCAGGATTGGAGAAGACGTTGCCACGGCCTCAGATGGAGCATACTCTGGAAAACATTTCAGGATGGGCTTCATGACGATGCCGGCGCCACAGGACCGACTGCCCACGCCGACCCAAGGCTTCACTGTGCGATCCCAGTCTCTTCACTCAGTCGGCGGTGGAGAGGAAGACTCCAACCACAGTCGCAAGCAACCTCCACCCAAACCCAAGCGAGACCCGACCACCAAACTGAGCAGCAGCTCTGAGGCGGTGGACGGAGTCTCTGGTTTCATGAAGAGAGAGTATCAAGAAGCTAAAGATGGTGCCGAACTTTCAGAAGGTGAGATTTGAGTCATCCATGTCCTGTTCCTAGGTAGCCAATCTCCCAAAGGCTTCAGATCAGTTGTGTTCAGCTTTCACAGGTTGTCGTTGATGATGCTGTTGCCAAAACTTGGTTTCTATGAACTGGGTAACTACTATAAAACTTAATGGCAAACTTGGACATTGGAGTTGGGTGATTTGGGTGAGGGAAGTATTAAAATGCAAGCATTTCTTATCAGTCCGTTTTCTTTTAAATATCCATAATACAGCCAAATGGTGATGTGACCTTCCTTTCTAATTTCCTCTTGAGTTGTTATATTCATTTTCTCCTGTAACTCCTCTCCAATCTTTTCATTTTTAAGCAGCTATTGGCCGCAGTGGCGAAACATGAAACTGCTCCTGCGTACTCAGGTGTACTGCGTGTATTCTGTGGATTGTGTACTGACTGCAGACGGTTGAGATTTTATAGTCAGTACATTTGTGTGCATAGTAGACAAATGAATATTTGGTACACATTGGTACGCATTGCAGGCAATTGATATTGATTGTCTACATGTGACTAATTCAACAAAACTTGTCAAAATTTTGTCAAATTTGTGTCCAACTTGACAACCAACTTGATTGGATATTACCATGTTTCCCAAACTATCTGAATGTATAATAGAAAGGGGTCAGTAACTCAACTACACGCCCAGTGGACGTTTGCTACGAGTTCACATCAACCTCCCGAGAGCGAGTTCGCTGGGTCAACACAAAACTGAACCAGCTACTCACCATGTTGTTGCTAGGAAAGTGAGTGAGATTGTTGATGCCATCACCCGAGCTAGGCTAGCTTAGCTGTGAGACGTTGAGCTGCTAAAGCCTTTCCTTTGCCTACATCTCCCAGAATGCTACATGGTTCTTGATTGGAGTTCAATGAAATTATCAACATTTCATCTGACTTGTTTTTTATTGCTATTAATCAAGTACCTGTCACAATAGCTATCATTATTGTGTTATCGTCCAGCCCAATTAGATTATAGATTTACTTGAATCAGATGAGATCGGGAGACAAATACGACTCTGTAAGTCACTGAGCATTACGCATGAATGAGAAGTAAGGATTTCTTTGGGTTTTCTGTTTCTGTTTGCCTGCAGCTCGATACCATCACCACAGTGAAGAATCCAGGAAGATGCCTCCACCCAAACCCAAGAGAGACCCAAACACTCAGCTTAGCTCCTCTTTTGATGAGTCCTACGTCCGTAACCACTGCAGCAAGAAGTCTTCCCTCCATGGCGACAAATCCTCGTCTCAGAGTCACAGCCCGGCGTCCAGAGACACAGACGACGAAGAGCCGGTTTACATCGAGATGGTCGGAAACATCCTGCGTGAGCTGAAAGGTCAGGAAGCCGTGGACGACGAGCAAAGCGAGTCTGTGTACGAGGAGATGAAGTATCCGATGCTGGAGGACTTTCTGCAGGATGTGCAGTCCACCATCATCGACAGTGAGGCGTGGTCTTCCCGCGGTTCGTTCTGTGACATTCCTCCACCCTTCCCAAACCTCCTGACTCACCGCCCTCCGCTGCTCGTCTTCCCGCCCGCCCCGGTCCAATGCTCCCCCAACTCCGACGAGTCCCCTCTCACCCCGCTTGATGTCACTCGTCTGCCTGTGCTAGAAAATGTTAGCTTGAGTAAATCGGGTGGAGCAGAGCAGCCACAGGGCTCTGGTCACCACCGTAAAGATCGGGACCGGGATCGGGACCGGGACCGGGATCGGGATCGGGATCGGGACGCGTCCCACACTCACACAGTCACATCCTCTGGTCGCTCATCAGCCCCTCCCCTGGCCTCCAGTTTTTACAAGTCATCAAGCTCCGCCCACAGTGGTCACGGCTACCCCCGCAGCCAATCAGCATGTCCATCTCCGGTCAGCATGGGGCGCGCTCTGACTCCTCTGAGTTTGAAGAGGCCGCCCCCTTATGACACTCTGATAGCAGGAGGAAGCATACCCCGCTCCTCTTCCTCCTCCTCCTCATCCTCACAGAGGGCAGGAGAGGGCGGAGCTAAACTCAGTAACTCGTCCTCCGCCCACGGCTCCATGCACAACGTCTCGGCGCGCTGCCAGACTCCCACCAGCCCGCTGGACGAACTCAACAACCTGTTTGCGTCAGGCAGGCAGGTGATGAAGAGGAGCTCGGCAGGGAGGAAGGGCAGAGAGGGTGAAGGTAAGAATATCACAGAAATGTGACGAGCAAGAACAGAATCAGGTTATCATAATTAACTAAGACTAACGAAATAACAATATTAAAATTGAGAAATCGTTTTCATCACCTGAAATAAAAAAAAACAATAATTAATGGAGGAAACTGTAAACCTAAAACATACTGATCTGACTCTTTGTTTTTGTGTTTATGAATCTATTTATTGGCCTTCCATGAAATTATAGCCTGGTGGCTAATTTCATCTCTAGTCAAACTGACAGATAATGCGAAAAAATTAATATATAAAACAACATCGAAGGGGCAGTATTATGTAAAATCTACTTTGTCATTCTGTTTGTCCTTCATCAACCTGGTTGCTTTGATTCTTTCATCTTTGAGAAATCCTTTAATGTCCATGGCAACTATTCAGTCATACAAAACGCCTGGATGGACCAAGCCCCGCCTCTGAGACACAGCTCCTCCCCCACTCAGCTCCTTCAGACTAGCCAGAAGTAATTAGCAAACTCCTGGTAGAACTGCAGAGCTCATCATAGAAGCTGCTGCTCAGTAAAACTGTTGCTAAAGGGATAATGGAGGAGCCATGATGGGATGACTTCCTGAAGGCGGAGTATTTATTTTAGGTCATATTTGATATAACTCAACGTTGATGATCGTCTCTTTTATCCGAAACCTTCAAAGGTTTTATTTAAATCATTTCAACTGGTTTGAGAATTATTTTACATTTGCATTGTTTGATTTCTGCAGGAGACTCCAAGTCTCTGCCAAGACACGACAGCAAAGACAGAGACGGACAATCCAGTCCTGTTTCCAGCAGGATGGGGAGATCGTCTGTGAGCCCCACCATGATGCTGACGGGAGGAGGAGGAGCAGGAGGAGGAGGAGGAGGAGCAGGAGGAGGAGGAGCAGGAGGAGGAGCAGGAGGAGGAGGTGAGATCCTGTAATCCTCTAAAAATTCAATGTGTTGAATTTCTTCTTGTTTTGTGAGAAGAGGCGACTGAACTTCTTTCCTCCGGTGAGAAGTCGACGTTGGGTCGCGGTGCGACTCCCTCTCCGTTTCGCTCTCTAAGTGCTGAACGATTCCCCAGACAGTTGGAGAGCAGCAGCCATTGAAAGCTCACTCAGCGCTGATTAAACCGCTCTGTCTCATCTCCTGCTAATTTTATTGCGCTGCTGCATCATCAGATTGTATTGGATTGCTTGTTGATGTAACCTCTGGGCTAATCGCACTTTAAGTTCTGTGTCTTATTGCTACAGTAACGTCACGCTTCCCTAAAAAAATGTGTTGTTTTTTTCTTATTTTGAGTATTTTAGCTGTTTCTAAGGTTTGCATAACTAATGCACTGCAAAAATCTGACCAAGTATTGTTTCTAGTTTATTGAGGAAATTCGCTTTAGATACAACAAAACTAACTTACTGTCATGACATGCGGACGCAGAGAGGCAGACGCAGAGGACCCAGGTTGGTGTGAAGAACAATGATGGTTTTAATCAATATTGAGAAATTATTCACTTTTTAAAACTCCTACATCTTGATGAAAAGTTACTTGTAAACTAGTTTTGTCGTAATTCAAGTTTAATAAGAAATTTGCCCTAGAAACTGGACCAAACTTTCTTGGTATGATTTTGTGTTTTTACAGTGTAACATTGGATTCATCTGATCTGTACTCTATGGCTTCTTAGCTCTAGGATGAATCATTTTCTGAAGCTCAGGTGAGCAGCTGATACCTGTCAGGTGACTGATGTCTGGTTCTGCAGAATCAAAGACTGTGGGTAAACTGGGCCGGTCCGCATCAACGTCAGGGGTTCCCTCTCCAGGCGGAACGCCGCAGCGCCACCTCTATGACGCCCACCACCCGGTCCTCAGCCAGGTAAGCCGCCCCGCCCGCCCCGCCCCCTCTCACCTGATTGCTCTTGTCTGTGTCACCTGTCCTGACCATATGTTTGAAATGTTCACACAGGACTGAGCTTTGGTGAACAAACAGAGAGCAGGAGCTTCACATCGTCTCCTGAACTTAGTCTCACTCTGAATTTTAAACACTAACAGCCTGCAGCAGCTGAACATAACTGGCTCAGTAACACTTGATTACTAACATGCTGAAGTTTCTAACAGCAGCACTAATACCGCACTGACGCTCCACTAACAGTGAGTCATTCTGAGACACTTCAACACAATAAAACTTTAAAAACTCCACAGTCATAAGATCATAAACTCAAAAGTCACATTCCTATAGTTACTGACCCCGCCCCTATCGATACTGACTCCGCCCTTATCGATACTGACCCCGCCCTTATTGATACTGACCCCGCCCCTATCGATACTGACCCCGCCCCTATCGACTCCGCCCCAACTTTCCACGCCCCATTTTAAATTCATGCTGACCACGCCCATTCCTGATGCAAATTGCTCACGCTGTGACTCATGCTGACCCTGCACCTTTATGTTGCATGCTGATTCTTGTGGCGTGACCTTTGACCCTGCCCTGACCCAACTGGACCTACTTTTCCACCCTGTTGTTAAGTATTCTGATGCACACCCTGGCAGGGTTTCAGTCCGGTTTGAAGTTCAGACTTGCCCCCATTTTTTATACATATTGATGAACTCTGACACATGACACCTACAGGTCATCCCCAATGTTTGGAGTGCGCTCCATTTTAATACTTACCAACCATGTTCCATATTTAATACATACTGACCAGACGTTATTACCACACAATCTGTCCCAGAAGCCCGATCCGAACCTTCTGCTCATGTGAATCTACTTCTTAAAATTATTAGTTTTAGCATTGTTTTCAAATGACCAAAGTGATTTATATTTTGTTTTTTTAACCATCTGGAAGTATTTCCTGTAGCGCCTGTGCTAACGCCGGGACGTCGTTGCAATTCGTTCTTCCTGGACAGATTCTGTCATGACGCATCATTCTTTACATAATGACCCTGCCCCTTTCTGATGCAACTTCCCACGCTGTGACCCCTGCTGACCCTGCACCTTTCTGTTGCATGCTGATTCTTATGGTATGACCTCTGACCCTGCCCTGTCCCAACCGGATCTACAGGTCTGCCCTGTTGTTATGCGTTCTGACGGCCCAGTTTTAGTCCAGTTTTTACAGTCATCCTTCATGTAACGCAGGAGTAACGATGATTTTCATTCATTTACACAGAGTTAATGAAGCATAACATAATCAATCCTGTTTTTCACCATTATTTCCTTTAATTGGAGATCATTACTGAAGCAACACAGAGGCTCCCAGTGCTAACTGGAAGAACTGGGCTGAAACTGAGTCGATCCTCACCTGACATCCATCACCTTCCCCTGTGGTTGTGTTTCTGTGCCAAACTTTTTCAAATAAAAACCAAAATGTCTGGTGTGGTGTTTGTTCTGTCTCAGTCTGCAGTGTTGTTTTTTATTTAAATCATTTTTGGGGATCGCTGTAGTGTGTGTTCACTGGTTTCTGGTTTCCAACTGATTTAACTGAACTGAATTATTAAGGGTCCAGTCCATAATGTCGGATTTGACTCTCATTATCTTTTTAATTAAAACGCTTAAAAATCTGCATATTGATTGTAATTATTAACATTTGTTTAAATTTGTTTTCATTCAGACAAATTCATAATAAAGCTGCTTTTATTCGTACACTGCAAAAACAAAGTAATTTAGGTCTAGTTTCTTGTTTAAATATCTTGGTTCACGTTAAATAGGATAAAACTAACTTAGCAACTTTACAGAGATATTGGAGTTTGTTTAATAATAACCCAGTGAATAACCTGATTCTTTGGGCTGAGTTTCTTGGCCCACGTCAATTTACTGTCGAATCGATATGTTAGACACAGTGAAATGCTTTCCATTAACGGAGAGAACTGGGAACAGCAGGGAACCAAAATGACTCCAACAGGCATCATCGGTTCATCCAGGAGCTCACAGAAAAATCTAGATAACGACTAAAGTTCTGCAAACCAGTGAAGGTCAGAGGTCATAATTCAACCATATGACAGAGGCTGAGGGAAATTACATTAGAGTTCCAAAGCCAGAACCACAGCTGACCCACATGAACACAAAGTCCATCTCAGTTCTACCAAAAACACTTTCATGATGTTTGATCTCAACAATGCTCTGTCAGAAAACCCTGAATAACGAACCGCTGTCGGGTTTGACCTCAACGCTTTGGCTATGCTGCAGAACAGTAAACACATCTGCAAGCTCAGTACATCACCGAATGGCTCAGAAAATGTGGTTAGCATGAAACCATTTAGCAACATTCCTTTACAGTAAAATAGACGGTTTCCATTGTTGGTGTAATTAAACCAATCAGAAGCATTTTTCATATTCCTTTAACTGTGGAGGTCATTGCTAACTAAAATGCTAGCTGCACCAAAGCATAATCATAAACATTAGCTCTGCTAATCAACACAGTATTTAGCAGAAGCTAATGCTACAGCATGTGCTACAACACAACACGTCTCTACAGGGTCATATTTTTATGGAAGTGATTCTTTCAGTCATAATGTCAGTTTTATAGTAGTTATCTTTACTGTAGAACTACAGCAAAGCATTATGGGTACAGAATGAACATCATTTGCTGCATCTGTGAACAACACTTTAGCAAAAGCGCTAAAGTGCTTCCAAAACGTTAGCTCTGCTATTAGCATATTAGCATATTGTATCCACCACGGAACTTTAATAAATAGGCCAATGGATCCATCCACAGGCTGACGTTAGAGCTGAATGTGACCCAGAATCCCCTCAGTGAGGCTCAGTGTCAGGCAGGACCACAGCGTGTGAACGATGCTGACGAGCTGTTCTTCATCACCAGATGCCGTGGCTCTGCGGCGACGCCACCATGATGGAGATGATCGAGAAGAAGAGAGTTTTGTGCCGAGAGATCAAAGCCCGTCAGCGGCCGGAGAAGAACCTGTGCAAGCAGGACAGCATGCCCAACCTGCCCAGCTGGAGGAGGAAGCAGCCGCCGCCATACTCGGCCCCGCCCACCGCCACCGGTCACGCCACCACCGTGTTCTGGGACACCGCCATCTGAGATCCACCCAGAGGGGACAACACTCTCCACTGAGACAGAGAGAAACGATGAGGATGATGAGAGTGATGATGATGTCATGTTGATGATGATGATGTCATGTTGATGATGATGGTAACCATCGTGGTGATGGTCATGATGATGATGATCATGATGGTGATGAAGATCATAATTATTAATAATGATCTTCATCACTGTTATTGGTAATGATGATGCTGCTGCTGATGATGATGATGATAACCACAGTGGTGACAAGAGGTGGTCATGAGGAAGGTGATGGGAATGAAGATAATTATTATCATGATGATGATGATGGTCATGATAATGACAGGACGATGATGAAGATGATATCTCATCATCATCATCATCTTCCTCCGGAGCTGCTGGCCGGTTGAATTTGCTGCCAGCTGATTGGTTGATGAGTTGAACTTTCCAGTCATTCTTTTTGTTTTGAACAGTCATTTGATTCACTTTGCGGACTCACCTGCTTTGATGTCTCCACTTCCTGTCACGTGACGCAGTTTGAGTTGACTTCATCTTCATCTGAACCTCGTTAATGTTCCAATTAATGTGCGTCAGTAAACAAGCATCGATCAGATCAACGCCGCTGCTTCTGTTCGTCCTCCCCAATGAGGACACTCACTTTACAAGATGCATTTTGAGGGTCAGACCCGGTTCTGACCTGGTTCCGGTCCAAACGGACAGCCTTTCCGCCAGGTTTTATCTCATCAAGGCAAAGGTTCAACCAGGTGTCCTGCTGTCCAATCAGAGCGCAGAGCGGCGCGCAGGGGGCGTGGCTGTTCAGGTGTAGCAGAGATTCCCGTCTTCTTTCTAGTTCTTATTTTTTTATCTGTAAAATATTCAGATGGTTGTTTCTTTTTAAGTCGTGTAGCAGAAAATATGAACTCCTCTATGTTTGAAAAGAAGACGCGGCGCATCTCTGCGATGTGTTTTTATATTTCTGGAAGAAAAGATGGTGACGTCTGTGCGTGGAGTGTAGTCGGAATGTGAACATGTTTTTATAAAATATTTTAAAACTGAAAATATTTTGGCAGGCTGGTTGTTGGTTTGTGTTCATTTGCAAGTGGTGAATTTTCAATCCAGCCTGACTCCAGTTTGTTCCCAGTTTGATTCCAGTTTGATTCCAGTTTCACTGCAATTTAAAACTCAGATTGTAGTTTTAGTCTCAAGTTTAACTCTTGTTGGTTTTCAGACTAATTTCAGTCTAGTCTACATGGCTCTGGTATAACTCCAGACTGTCACCAGTTTGACTCCAGTTTAACTCCAGTGTGAATCCAGTTTGACGGCAGCAGAACTCTGCAGCAAACTAAAGTAACTAGTCTGAGTTTGAACTAGAACTTGAGTTAACTAACCCAGGTAAACTGGGTTCAGTTTGATCCAAACCTTACCACAGTGTGAACACAGATTCAATCCAGTTTGGCTTCATAAATGTAGCCAACAACGATTTGTCCTGTTGGATAACAGCCATTTCCACACCACAGTGTGAATCACACTCAAACAGTTTATCAGGACCTTCACTTGACCTTTGACCTGGAGGTCAGGTGGCTGTTGATCTGCAGATGCCTGCTGGTCTTGATGAACCAGGAGAAACAAAACTTCTTTCTGTGATCAACGCGAAACGACTTGAAGCCAAGCGCCGGATTCAGGGTGAAATATGCACATGGATTAAATATAAAATATTTATCTGCTCACAAACTTCTTTTGCACAAAATGTTTGTCATCATTAAACGAAGTGCACTTCCTGAGTTTGTAAAAGTTTCATCAAACACAATTTATTTGTAGTTATTTACAGGAAATGAATATTATATCAGCCTATATTGATGTTTCATGCAGTTTCTTTAGGAAACGATTAAAATTGAGCTGAAATGCTGAAGAGAAGCAGATTGAGTTCTGATTGGTCCAAAGATCAGCTAACGAGAGGAAGGTTGGAGATGCAGCAATCTGATTGGTTGATGGAAGCATTTAAACATTGTGTGACAGGAAGCTGGTTCAGATTATTCATGACTTGTTCTTCGTGCACTGTGAGAATCTGATGGACGCTGCGGTTTCCTGCTCTGAGATTATTGCACTCATTTATTTTTATTGAAACTGTGAGAAAGAAAAAAACTTATGTATTTGATTATGTTTTCATCAGTGAAGATGAAATATGAATAAAGTTGATTTTTCTGATCCAGCCTCTTCTCTTGTTTGTGATTTAAGACTCGACTGGTTGGCAAAATGAGAACAGCAGCACGGAATACAGCCATAAAAGAATCACCTGAATAACATCTATAAAACAAGATTAACTACAAATCCTGTTCACTGATAAGATGTCTGCTGATATTATTTAATATTAAAATAAAATGATTTTTTTATCACTCAGAACTGAGCTTATTCTACACACCCCGTTTTTACTGAACAGAACTTTATTAAAGGTATTTTTAATGTGATCCGGTCTAAAATAGTGCATGTGTAATGTAGCTTCTAGATTGGACCCATGAACACACCTACACCCTGTTTCTCCACCTCCCATGATCCTCTTGCTGCAAGGCAACATACTACCAACTCTACAACTTTATGACTTGCATATTATTTTTTTCTCGTTTAATCCATTTTTTCCATTTTTTTTTGTATTTACGTAATTATTGGGTTTTTAATTTTATTTATGCTTGACTGAAGAAGATGCAAACCTGTCTAAGCTGAACATGACTCCTGGTTTACATTCTGGGCCTGTTTCTGAAATAGCAGGTCTCAGCCGCCAGAGGCCAGCAACGCGCCTCCACCAACCTCCGGCCAACCGGAATGAAACGAAGAAGAAGAACAAGTACCCGCGATGTCAACAAAGAATGAGTCGCCATGTTGGACTGATGGGAAGCAGATATTTCGCTTAGGTTGGTTCAGAACAGACTTTTTTAGCGCAATTTGTTGTCTGAACAGAATCTAGGTTCTGGTTCTGGTTCGCCATGCAGCATATCGGAACCGTAGAGGAAACTTTTGGCCGTCAGACCGAACTGGTTCTCCAGCTGCTGCTGGAGGCTGCTGTGGAAGTTCTACTGGGACAACGGGAACCAGTAACTGAGGAGGTTCTACTGGAGGAGGAACCAGTAACGGCGGTGGTGGGTCAGGAACCTGCTGCTGAGGAGGTTCTGCTGGAGAAACAGGAACCAGAAGAGAAGCGGAATCAGGTGAGAGCTGGACGTGATGCGGGTTCGGTTCTGTCAGCTGAGTGTTTCCTGAAAAGAACGTTCTGCAGGTTTGAATCAGCTGTTGCGTTTAAAGTTCAGATTCTGGGCTCGTTTCTGTTCCCCAGGTAACAATGTCAAATTGATCTGATCCAAAATCACCAGAACCGCTTCTTTCCTAGAACTACTTTACACGTGACAGAACCGTCCAATAGGCAAACTTTAATGGATGAAATTCTGCCTTTTCATTGGTCAGAATAACTTTCAATGAAAGCTTCAGTATGTAACGTTTATAAAAATGTTTTTTTAACATATTTATTAAAGTTGTCACCGTGTTATGATAGTTTGCTGTCAGTAAATTGGTGGATCTCCTCCTTGAGCTACTATTGCTGTCTGGAAAAATGCACAAAACAACCAATCAGAGCCAAGAGGCGTGTCTTAGCGCTGTCAATCATCCTTGTGTACAAGCTTTTAAATGTGTTAATGTTGGAGAAACAGCTTACCTAAAGGAAAACTAGTTATTCATTGTTATGGTGGCCATGCTAACTAGCATTAGTTACAGTTACATACTGCAGCTTTGATGGTAACAGAACTTTATTGGTCCCAAACGTTTGGTTCCTTCCTGAAGAATCAGTCATGGACACACAGAAACACACCCATGTGTATTATTATTATTTGTTTTAAATCAGAAAAATTTTCAAAAGTTCTGGTGGAATTTGGATCCTGATCAGACCAGAAGGTTCTGGTTCTGCTTACTCTGCTCTATGCCCAGGTAACCTTTGACTTTCCTTCGTCCTGCAGCTGAACAGTGTTCTGGTTCTGATGTCCAGAGAGGCTGTCCGTAAGATCCGCTGCATCTTTAGAGAACTTTACCTGACCGTTCTGACGGAGAACGAAGCTCTGAAGGACAAAGTGAAGCAACTGGAGGGGGAAGAACCACAGAAACCAAAACCCGCCGCTGCAGTGAAGAACCACAAGGCTCCCAAAATTCGGTCGTCAGGTGAGGATTTAAAGCTGCAGTATGAAACAGATAGTCTGTGAAAAATCAAGTTCCTCTGCCTTCTTTCAGTGCTAACAAGAAACAACCAGTCAGAGCCAGGAGGCGTGTCTTAGCGCTGTCAATCATGCCCATGAAGTCACAGCACCCCCCTGCTCTCTGCTAAACTACACTGGTCACTTTTTTCTCACTTGTTTTTCCACCATTAGCACATTTAGCAGCTTGTTCATGATGTTGGTTGACAGCGGTAAGACCCGCCTCCTGACTCTGATTGGTTGGTTTTGGTTGGGAGTGGTGCATTTCTTTAGCTGATCTTTTCACAGATTATCTGTCTCATATCCGTCACATCATGGTGACGGTTTTAACAAATATATAGAAACATTTTTATTTCATTTATAAAAGTGACGTACTGCAGCTTTAAGGAGGAAACTGTAACTCTGCTCTAGAGTGAGAACCTTTTTGACCAGGAAGTTGTTTATTTTTAATGTGGAAGTTTTGTGATGCCTTCGCTGTCTCTCTGTGTGTCTGTAGTTTTGGACCCATCAATCAGGTTGGGTGAAGTCCAGGTGGTCTCGGTTCGGTCCACCTGCAGCGACCCGGTTCCACCGATCTTCACCCACCTTTCTGCCCAACAGCCAATTGAGCAACAGAGCAGCTGCTGCGTTCAAGTGCCGCAGGAAAAGGCGGATCTGGTTGCTCCAGGATTACCACAGGTT